TCTTAAGTTTTGAAGGCGATCAGAAGGATAAGTGTTTACAACAACAATCTCAAATGCTGACTATATACTTCAAGAAAAGATTGGCTTCAAAAGGGATGCTGTTTTTAATTCCTTATCCAAATAGGTGAGTTACTTGGTCTTCTAATACCTTGATTGCAATTTATTGTCTTTTTAAAATTCCAATTGTAACATACATCATCCAATTCTCCTAAGGGACATTAGATGCTTATCATGATTGAGCCAGCAAATTCTAAAGCTTCAAAGGTGTACTATTTGGATTCAGCTCCTCATGGTGGAGATCTAACTAACCAACTGGATATGATGGAGCTATTTAATGGGCAAGTACATTTAGTAACTAATATTTTATTTATTTCTAAAATTCTACATTTCTAACACATCAATAACATATATATTTATCATTTTCTTCATGTAGTGCCCTCGACAAATCAACAACAGTCATGATTGTGGCTACTATATGGTAAGGTATACTAAAGACATCATCACTCACAAGTAACCTACAATCCCCTTCACGATATCTATCATTTTGTAATAAATTATTTTTATATTATAATGGATATTAATTGTCATTAACTAACTTCATTGTCACGTATGTTGTAGTACTATCCGGATTGTGCTACACCTCATTTCGACAATACCTAAATTAATGAAGTCTTTAAAGACTAGAGTGAATATGCATATTAAAAGTGGGTCACATCTAATACAAGGTGATAATATATAGTTAGTTTAGAAACATATTAGTTTAGTTGTCAATATATAAATTTTAGGAATTGGTATTTTAGTATGAATTGATTTATTTATATCATTAAATTTAGATACAATAATTTTGATGTAACTAAATTCTAAACATTATTGTTTTGAATTGTGTTGTGTAGATTTGAATTTTGGGCTGTTCTAAAATATTATTAAATATATTTGTATTTAAGCAGCTTCCAACAACCTCCCTTTTTGAAGAAAAAGAAACTGGCCTTATAAGATGGTTATGGATATACCCGTCCTATATGGCCTAATATAGAAGACTGTTATCACCATAACTATCCTCTATAATTGGCGATATAGGATAGTTATGTCCATAACAGTCCTATAAGACCTCTGCTTCTATACATGTGAAACTTAATATAGGATAGTTGTTATATTATCTCCAATAATAACCATCCTATAGAGATCAAGTAATAGAGGACGATTAAATATAGGATGGTTAGAAACTCTTCTTTGTTGGGAAAAACAACCATCCTCTATTATCATATCTGTTGTAGTGCAACACTTTTTATCACTAAATTCTTGAAATCTAAGGTTTAGAAGTGAAGAGAAGAGAGGAAAGGCTAACTGAAATACATAATAGTCTGAATAAGCTACTTATAAAATTAAGGAATCAAATTAAAACTTTATATAAATTTAGAAGATCAAAAGTATACTTTACCTTTTTTTTTCATCAAGAAATTACTCAAAGCCATGCTAAGAATTCTCAATGCATGGCGTTGTCAACTTTGTTTAATTATATATTATTTTGTCAATTATAATTTAATGATAATCAATAAAATAATTAGTTTATTATTTTTTTATAACGCTGTCTATATATAAGCTTGTGACAGAATTTTGGATTTGAGACTAATTTAAAGATAATAAAAAGTTTACTCTAGCAATAAATGTATTATATTAGATTTTTTTTTATAACACTAGGCTTGCTATTGGCCATATAATTATTCCATGCAAATGTTTAGTTTGGAAGAATGATAAATAAGAACCTCATAAGAATATTAATTAATGTCAAGATCTCTTCATAATTGAGGTTGCCAAATTCATTATTCTTTTTTGTATGTTTCAATTCTAAAATCTGTAAAACAAAAAAATCTTAATTTGGAATTAATCTTTTTATGAGGTCCTTACCTATGATTTTTCCTATTAAATAAATTACAAATCATATTATTCATAAATTTTATATATATATATATATATGTATTTATGTATGTATGTATGTATGTATGTATGTATGTATGTATGTATGTATAGTTTTGTTGATTTTATACATTATGCAAAACACTAGACTCATTTTCTTGGTTTTGAATAGTTTTAATTTTAACTTTGGTAAATTTAATTTAGTCTTAATATGTAAATATATATAAATAATTTTCGTTTGAGCCCAAAGAGTAGATACATTGAATAGTGAAGGCGATAATGGAGGGTCTATAATAAATTACTGATGAATTCATAAGCCTTATTTGATATAAGAGAATGAGATTGTGGGATTGCCACTCGTATTTGGTAATCCCACCTTTTTATATTTAGCATGAAGAAATGAATATTTTAATCCTTGTATTAATCTCACCTTATATGGAATTACTCGATACCATCACCTCTAGTATTGCAAATTCAATTTTGGGATTAATTTTTTTAAGACTAAAATGCCTTTCTATCCTCTCTCCTCCTTCATCTCCCTCCCACTTGATGTGCTAGCAGAATATGCGACACTGCTGACGCAAGTCATCCCCATCACAAGTCTTCCCTGCCGCCATCTTCATCGCAAGTTGTCTCTCTCCCTTCAGAACACTTCTCATCTCCTTTCCTTCATTCCACTCATTATCTTCTACATTATCACGATGGAAATTGTGTCGATCAAGAGCTCTAGCTCCTTAGTGGAAACAAGAGAGTTCTCTCCTCTCCGCCTCTATTACTATTTATCCGCTTTGAAGTTCCGGCATCAATCAAGACTTCTGCACCTCCACTATGCTACTCGAGATTTTAATTTTGGCGATTACTTTGCTCCTCTTTTTCCAAGTACTAATACTTTTTTATTTGTTGAATGTGGTTTGAGATTGCTAATGGTGTCCATATCTGGTTCCATGAGTTTGTCCAAATCCATTCTGAGTTCGATTCGTGTTCTAGATTTTGAGATATGGTTCTTCAAATATAGTTTAAGTTCAAAAAGTACTAATACTTTTTTATTTGTTGAATGTGGTTTGAGATTGCTAATGGTGTCCATATCTGGTTCCATGAGTTTGTCCAAATCCAATTCTGAGTTCAATTCGTGTTCTAGATTTTGAGATATGGTTCTTCAAATCTAGTTTAAGTTCAAGATGGAGTTCACCAGATTTGGTTCAACACCATGTTTTTTTTAATGATAAGGGCCAGTATAGTCATTTGATAATTTCTAATTGATTGTAAAATAAAATTAATGCAAGTATTCCATCCAAATTATACTAAACATATTTTTAAAGCCTCAATCCTAACTCCAATTTCAGTATCAATTTCAATCGTAATCCAAATTCCAGTCCACTAAAATTCATTCCTTCATACCAAATGAGGCCTATATGATAATGGAGTGAAATAGAATGTTAAGTGACTTGTAATTTTTCTCAACAAATTTAATTATAATTTATCTTAAAGAATTTTTTAGGCCAAAGAAAACACTATAATTCTTAAAATTATTGTGCAAGTAGCATTCTGAACTCCTAAAATGTACAAAAACTTTCTTAACTTCTAAGTTCCAATTAAGTGACCCGCTGCCATTAAGTTACAGATAATCGCCATTACTTTTCACTTTGCGGGGTCCAGTTAAACATCAACGTGGTAGTTATCCCTCCTCACCCTTGCTTATGTGGCAATCTCCTCCTTTAGATCCTCATCTGATTCCTCCTCTCCTCTTCTAGATCTAAAAATTCATATATTGACTATCCAAATATACTCTATATAATCTAAATTTAAAATTTTTAACTTGTAATTTCTTAAAAAATATTTTATATTTTTATTAAATCTAAACTGTACAGAGTATATCTGAATAGTTAATATATAAAAAAAATAAAATTAAATTAGAGACTCTAAATTAAATATAGACCCAATTGATGATAAAAAAATTTATTACAATTTTTTATAATATTTATAATTTTTTATTTAATAAATAAAAAATAAAAATAGAAAATAGTCCATTAAACCTGAATTATACAGGTTAAAATTTATATGGTTCAGATCATATCAGCTTGATAAGCACCCAAGATGGACCGAAATAATAACATATACGTATGTACATGTGCATGTTGAGAGAATATTTATGGAAATAAATTAATTAAAACAAGTCTTCGGAAAAATGATTGCTTTTGCACAAGTACTGGCGAAAAAAAAAAAGAAAAAAGAAAGAATTAAAACATGAGCCGTAAGTGTGAAGAAGCGCACACACGGAAGCAAAGAATTTGACTTAGTGCGCGTTTGAAAGATACTGGACAACAACTTATACAAGGCAAAGAAAAGTCTAACAATCCCATAATTGTCTCACCGAACATATCAAACTTGCATATTGGGACATTTATGATGCATTTTCATTGCAACTACGTGTTGGACCAGTCGTTTTCCCACAATAAAGAATATGGAGGGATAACCATATCCACTTTCCTGACAACTTGAATATACTCTTTCCAATTATAAGACAATTTAAAAAACAGATTATGTACACTAATAAAATTTAATAATGATACTTTAAAAATTTATTTTTTAAAAAATATAAACTTTTAAAAATATTTTTTATTTAATATAACTTTAAATATAAACTTTTAATCATTACTCCCTTTGGTTTTTAATATATAGGATGTTTTTAATCAATTCACTTAAACAGTTGAACTAGAGGTGACAATTTAGTCATTAAACATGTTTTTCAATGAAAGATTTTTTTCAACTTTATCTCTATTAAAAATAGTAAGAGATATATAGCATCCGATGAATCATGAAATTAAATTTACAATTGGGGTGAAATTAAAAAATGGCATTAAAAATGACCCCCTTGTGCCTTGTATATATTAAGGACCAAAATTTCATTCTAGAAGATACCCTATATTAAGGACCGAAGGAAGTGTGCTATAATCATTTTAATTCTTTCTCCACTCAAGGGTAATATTAGAAACACATCATTGATAAAGCCTTATTTTTGTCAAGTTATTTTGAATTTTGGGATAAAGAAATACCTCCAAAGTTGGCTTATAATTTGGGATGGAGAAGTAGTACTATAAATCTTCTTGTCTTTTCTTTGTTTTGTCTTTTTATTATCAGATAATTAGAATTTCCTTTATATATAATTCAATTATAACCTTGAGTAGAATTTAAGTAAATCGTCTCGCTTTCTTTTCAGAAGTTATCATGACTCCCACTACTTCGAAATTTGTGATTACTTTGCTTTGGTGCCTATGCACAATCACACTGCATTCAATCCCATCGCACGGGAATGTGAATGTTCATTGTAATGAAAGAGATCGAGAAACTCTTGAAGTCTTTCAGAGAAGTATTGAAGATCCTTGGAAGCTGCTCTCCACTTGGTCTAGCAATAACGATTGTTGTCGCTGGGTTGGAGTTCACTGCGATAAACTCACAGGTAGAGTCACAAATCTTAATCTTCATTGCCATCAGGACAATTCTACTGATACATTCAGCACTGGTAACAAATGTTTAGGAGGTCAAATAAACTTGTTTGTGCTGAACCTGGAATTTCTTAGCCACCTGGATTTGCATGGTAATGATTTCAAAGCTATTTATATCCCATCTGTTCAAGGATCTTACAATATGTCAATGATGAGAAATCTCCATCACGCTGCAAACAGCTTCTCTCATCTCCTTTTTCTCGACTTTTCATATAACTCTGAGCTCAAAATCAATGATCTTAGATGGGTTTTGCAGCTATCTTCATTGAAATATCTTAATCTCAGTTATACTAACCTCTCTGAGGAAAGTCTTTGGCTTCAACGGGTTAACATGGTCCCTTCACTTTCTGAGTTAAGATTAAGCCACTGTTTCCTTACTAACATTCAACCATCTCTTAGGCAAGCCAATTTTTCTTCCCTTGAGGTACTTGATATTTCAGACAATGATTTTCACATTGAAGTACCTAAATGGCTATTTATCCTCAGCAATACCATTTCTCGTTTAGACCTTAGCTTGAATAGTTTCAGGGGTCAAGTACCTGAAGGAATGTCAAATCTTAGGAATTTGAAATTCTTACTCTTGAGGGGCAATAAATTTACTGGTTCAATTCCTAAATGGGTGGGACAATTTGAGCAGTTACAATATCTTGATCTTTCATCCAATTTTTTTTTCTCGTCCCGTTCCTGAAACTCTAGGAAATCTATCTTCATTGGAACAGTTATTAGTTGGACACAATGAATTAAATGGCAGTGTTCCAAAATCTATTGGGCAACTCTCAAAATTGCAGAGATTTTTCCCTGCCTATAATTGGTTATCTGGATCTATTTCTTCTCTCTTATGCCAAATTGTATTTGGGAATAAACAATTGAAGGTTTTACAAATGGAACACAATCGTTTATCTGGGGAGCTTCCTAGGTGTTGGACACAATGGACAAAACATTTGAAGATGATTATTTTGCATTCAAATAACATTGGTGGCAATATTCCACCACAGGTTTGCCAACTTTCTGATCTTCATGTGTTGGACCTTGCCTATAACAAACTTTCAGGATCAATTCCAAAATGTTTGGGTAATATTATTGCAATGGGTACAATTACTTCTGGTGATCTCTTCTTTAAGAATTACTCGTATGGTGGTAGAGTGATTGGACGAGATTCTATGAGTACTTACATGTCACATCGACCATTTTTTCACAAAGGTCCTGAAACAGAATATTGGGACAATGCTGTTAAATTTATCTTGCTTATTGACCTGTCAAACAATGGCCTATCGGAATTTATTCCTCAGGAATTATTTAGCTTAATTGCTTTGCTATCTTTAGATTTATCCCATAATCATTTGATGGGGAGGATAGCAGATGGGATTGAGCATATGAAAAGTTTAGAGTTTCTTGACCTCTCGTGGAACAAACTTTCTGGTGAAATTCCTCAAAGCTTGGGCAATTTATCTTTTCTAATTTTCATGAACTTATCATATAATAATTTCAATGGAAGAATTCCATTGGGCCACCTTCAATCTTTTGATGCGTCCAGTTACATTAGCAATCCTGAACTTTATGGTCCTCCTCTTACAAAGAGCTATTCACAAGGTGAAATTCCCAATGTTAAAAAACAGATTGTTGAAGACAGTGAAGATGATTTTACAAAGTGGTTCCACATTGGCAAGGCATTTGGATTTGCTTATGGCTTTTGGGGAGTATGCTTCTCCCTGTTTTTCTTTAGGACCTGGAGACTTGCCTATTTTCGATTCCTCAATAAAATGAATGACCGAATTTATGTCTTTGTGGTGTTAAAGACAAAATGGTTTCACTGAAACTTTTACGAGCTCCAAGATCGCAACTGAGAGGCAAAGATTTCGGTAAGTTATTAATCTATTGAAGCATTAAATTTTAAAGGGTTAAAAGATAATTTGACTTTTAAACTTTAAGTCTAAGAGTGTCAAAAATTCTAAACTTATTTTTGATATAATGTTCCACTTCAACTTTTAAAAACAGCACAATATTTCCTCTACATTAGTAAATATTTACATTGATTGTTAATTTATCAAAAAATTACAGAAAAGGACCAAGAAAATTTCTTGGTCATTTTTTATAATTTTTGATATTGATTTCTAAAATTTTTTATTTAATTGATGGTTAAAGTTAACATTTACTAAAATTAAGAGTAATATTGCACCATTTTTAAAAATTGAAGTAGAATATTGAACCAAAAACTAGTTTAGAGTTTTAAATATTTCTAAACCTATAGTTTAATGATAAATTTGTCATTTAATTATTTCACGTGATAGTACAATTATTGTTTACTTTGTTTTTATAGACATAGTTGATCATTTTTGTAATTCAAATCAGAACATGCTGATTGACCTAGACTTGTCAGTTTTTTTTTTTTAAATTGTTTTTCTATCAGTGAGAAGAAAACCCACCACAAACATATTATATATAATTACATATAATGGCTAAAACATTTTCCCTTAGTTTTATGTGTATGCACTAAATCAATAATAAATTCACATCTATCTTTTTATTCATTATTTTTCAGATCAGAATGTAACATATTGAAGAGTTCTAGGAGATCGATGCATGCTTCAAAGACGGGTTAGAAGTCTACTTTTTGTCATTGGTTGTGTTTGTTTGTATATATATATATATATATTCCAGACCTTATCGTCATGACCTTTAAGACAATTCATTGTGTATTTACGAGATTTATGGTATTATTTGTTATGCTTATTGTGTAATTCAAAAACAGTGTTGTTTGTTTATTTTAATTTATCTTGTAGATCTGGTCTGGGATGTCTAATATTTAGGGAAAGTTTGAGTGCGCGCACACAATCAATATTATGTGTATTCAGAAGACCAGGATTTGGAGGTTGGATTGTCCACATTAAATATGGATGGTTCATATTTAAAACATTTAAATCTTATTTTATTTTATAATTTATAAAAATGACCACAAAATGTAAAAAATAAATACCAATTTAGACAATACATATTTACCATAGATGTTTTAAATTTAATATTAATTTTTTATTATTTTTATAAATTAATCATGCATATTTACTTTGAAAAGTTTATATTTAAATATTTTAAATTATAATTTTTTAAAAAAATATTTTTTTGGAAAATACATGTTGCAAGATTATCTTCATTTTTAATATTGTATTATGAAAATAAAAATTTATGAAAATTTTAATATTAAATATATATTATCCATAATAAATCTGTATAATCAATTTATAAAAATTTTAAAAAAATTTATTAAGTTTGAACCAACAACATTAAATATGAACTATCCAGATTGATAATCCAATAAAATTATTAAATTTTTTCATGATGTTTATAAATTTTTATTTTTATGAATGTTAAAAAAAATTAGAAGTTTTGCATATGGGCTGTTCCTGGACAGTCCAAATTCTATCTATGTGCAGTGCAGACGAGGAGCAATAGAGGGGGAGCATGGAACGAGGAAAGCCGAGTCCAAATTAGAGCCATGCAATATTACATATAAGAACCCTAGCGTGATTAATATTTTAGTAAATCCCCTGGGTAGCTGGGCTTGAATTTTGGGCCTTAACCCAACATTAACCATTGGCAAGCAGCCGATTTGAGATGGAGACCGTAGAGTGCTCTATGACTATTGAAGAGGAAATATGTCAAACATAAATAAACAGTGTTGAAAGTTGAAACACGTGTACTTCAAAAAAATTTGATGATTATTTTAAAATAACTATCAAATAAATATATTTTTTAAATAAAAATAAAATTATTTTTTATTTAAAATTTTTTTGTCAAATAAATGTTAAATATTTGACAGTTTTTGTATTTGATATTAAGAGTCAAATAGATATATTTTTTTAAAAAAAATTATCAATGTATTTCTTGACAATTTGAAAAGAATCATCAAATATATGTTTAGGAATTGACTATTATTTAAGAATAACTGTAAGATATTATTCATTTTTTTATTTGTCATTTTTCTCAAATAGTAAATGACAAATATAAGACCTCTTATTTAAATTTTTTTATTTTTTTAATTCACATAATTAATGTTCAAATTGGGTTCCTTCACACTTGTTTATTATATTATAATAAATATAACGAGAAAGACAAGGGAACTGTTTTTTTATCTTCTATGCCTCATTGGTATAATATTGTATAACACACACTAAACGTTAATTTTTTCCACAGGTGATGATCATTGTTATTGTCCAATCAGGAAAAATAAGTTTCTCTATTACCAAGGAAAACGACAAATATAAAAAGTTTGGATAAATTGGCTCACCAGTCCAAAAAAATTTTATATCCAAAAAATATAAACTAAATTTTAAAAATTTAGGAATATCACTGATTTATATTAATATATAAAGAGTTTATCATTGAAAATTTATGAGAGATTTATTATTGATATACAACGATATATCACTGATAAATATAATAAATTGATCATGATGTAAAATATAATAAATGTTGGACTATTTGCGTGATTTAATCTTATAACATAGGCTATATTTGTAAAAGCCCACTACTATAAGACGGACTTTTAATAACAATTATTTTAACCTTTTAATATCAGTTATTGAGAGGAAGTGGAAAAATACGAAATGAAAAGTAAATATTTAACGTCGGTTAATTAACAGACGCTAAAAAAACTTTCAACGTTAGCTATATTGATAACCGATATTGAAACCATAAAAAAAAATTTGATTTTTTTTAAAAATTAAACTTTTAACCACAAGTCTTCAAAAATCGTGGTTCAAGGTCTTTTTAATTATGGTTATCATATATAACCATTGTTAAAAAGTCATATAGTTATTATCGAAACCATTGTTAAAAGTTTTTTTAACAACGGTTTCGATAATAACTATAGTTAAAAAGACTATAGTTCTTGAAAAACGTGGTTAAAAGTCTTTTTTTTTAAATTAAACTTTCTATAAATCCACAACTGAAAAAAGTGAAAATGGTATAAATTATAAACAGTCAGCCAGCACAACTACAATCAATATACAATAAGTTATAACTACATTTTATATTTGTTCAACTACTAAAAATTATAAAATTATGTTTAATCACTTTGAAAAGTATGCTTGGAGAAGTTGTTGAGCTAAAATATCTCGAATGTCATCGATCTCTTCTTCATTATAAGGCTCCATATTATTAAAAATCTAAATGATAAAATTAATCAGAATAATAATCTAAAGCAATTAAATACAAGAATTTGAACTAAAATAACAAAACCAAATATTTCTTGTAATCTTTCAGTACTTCCAACTTAAATTATCTCATACATGTAATGGATAATATAATATTCACATTCTATGCTTCCTGATTGCCTATGACACTAAAATAAATAGAAATTTAAAATTAAACCAAAATGTGCAAAGAATAATTAAATATGAAAGTTGGAGGTTCTATTTGGGCAAATTCATTCCATCGATGATTTTGGCTTGCGTTCCCCAAATGTAAACATATAATATGTCTCAAGTTCACTATTATCATTTGTAAATGAAAAACATTACCAAAGTATAAATATATCTCAAAGTAATATTTTCAAGTTTTCTGAGAAAGTAGCTATTATTAGTACTTCTATTGTGATCAATTCCTTCAAATCTTCTTAAGATCCTTCTTTTGTTAGCTAAGATATTACCTAAAATATTTTGCACCAGGAAGAGGCAGTGGTAGCAAACTTAAGGGTACCTTCTTTCCAATCATTACCATTCCAAGAATCTTTAACTATAGATTGAAAGGAATCATCCACTATCCAAACAGCGTGGCATTTAAAAGGTCTTTCATGAGTAATAGAATTTTTAGAATTTTCAAGCTGGATTTTGATAGGACAATGATTGAAGCCATATCTGAGAAGATGGAAAGAGTTAGCTTGGTTGAATTTAAGCTTCCATTCAGTGTTGCAAAAAGACCAATCAAGTCTTTCTTTTATGTTACCTTTCTCCCAAGTTAATTTATCTCCAATGAAATTTAATCCAAGTAAATTTATCTCCAATGAAATCTCTTTAGGAAGATTATAATAACAAAATTCTTCTCCAACAAAATTCTTCTAGATGCAAATGATTAAAATGGGGCGAAAAAAACACAAATTCTTTCACTCTACAACCATTATTAGAAGTAAAAGAAATCAAATTTTAGCTCTTCAAGATGATCAAGATAATTGGATTTTTGATCATTAAACCCTCAAAAATCAAACTACCTCTTACTTTAAAAACTTGTTTAAAGAGGATACCTAAATTAACCTAAGTTGATAATCGAAAGGAGCTTTCCGTCTCTAACCCCTACTCAATTGCAATCCATTCATAGGAGGTTACGGAAGAAGAAATTAAAAATGCAGCTTTTGATATTGGTGCCTTTAAAGCTCCTGGTCCAGATGGTATTAATGCTGGCTTCATTCAATGCTATTGGAATGATCTCAAGGATAGTATCAATCAGCTTGTTAAGAGATTCTTCACTGATCCTACTATCATTAGTGATATCAATGATATGTTCATCACTCTTATCCCTAAAAAATGACAACCCAAGTTGCATGAAAGATTTCTTACCAATATCCTTATGCAATGTGAGCTACAAAATAATCACCAAAATTCTCTCCAATGGATTGCGACAATGTATGAATCATTTGATTGGAGACAACCAATGTAGCTTTTTACAGGGAAGACAAAGTAGCGATAATATCATCATCGCTCAAGAAGTCATTCACTCTATGAGAACCAAGGCTGGAAAAAAGGGGTTCATGGCACTTAAGATTGATCTTGAGAAAGCTTTTGACAAAATCTCTTGGGATCTCATTGATGAGACCCTTCTTATCATAAGGATCAAAGAGAATATTAGAAAACTCATCATGGCAGCCATCTCAACCGCACGAATGAGTTCCTTGGAATGGGGCACCAACAAGAGAATTTAAGCCAACACAGGGCATTAGACAAAGGGATCCTCTTTCACCCTATCTCTTCATTCTTTGTATTGAGCGATTAAGTCATAGTATTATAAATAGCATTGATAAGGAAGAGTGGAAACCTATTAAATTAACAACTAATGATCCCCTAATTTCACTTCTATTTTTTACTGATAACATGTTGCTTTTTACAGATTCTTCTCTTGATCAAGCAAGGATCATCCAACAATGTCTCTCCAATTTTTGTAAAGCTTTGGGAAAAAAAGTGAATTTTGCCAAATCCAAGCTCTACTGCTCCAAGAATGTCAATATTAATAAAGCCTTACAGATCAGCAAGGAATTAAGAATTCCCCTAATTAGAAATCCTGGTAAATATTTAGGGATTCTTATTATCCATGAAAGAGTTTCAAAACTCACTTTTGCTCTCTGCTTGACAAAATCAACTCTCACCTAACCAACTGGAAAAGCTGCTATCTTAACAATGCTAGGAAAGCTATTCTTATAAAGTTTGTTCTATTTTCTATTCCCAGGTATGCCATGCAAACTATGCTCTTACTTGATAATGCCCTGACTAAAATGGAATCTCACTCTTCCAACTTCCTTTGGGGCTTTACTAATGGGACCAAAAAGCCTCATCTACTATCTTAGGACTTGATCACCAAAAACAAAAATCAAGGAGGTCTTGGATTCAAAAAGCTTAAGAGCCAAAATTGTGCCTATATTATGAAACTTTGCTTGGGAATTATAAAGATGCCCAATTGTCTCTACGTTCGTGTCTTGCATGATAAATATAAATGCAATAATCTTATCATTCCCATAGTTTGCAAAACCAATTCTGGCTCTTACACATGATCCAGTATTTGTAAAGTTTGGGAGCAATTCATTACTCACGTGGGGTGAAGGATAGGAAAAGAGGATCAAGTTTCTTTCTGGTATGACAAATGGTATCCCTTTC